AAATGTCAGCATTCAATGCATTTAATGAGTTGGTAAAATATCTAATTTTTATGCAAAATTCAATAAAATGATCTAATTTTTTAGCAATTTTAAATTTACGTAGTTTTCATAATTTAAATATTCGCAATTTTAAAATTTGCACAGTTTTTATAGTTTTGCAATTGCAATTTCAAATTGAATTACAGAAATTAAATAAATTGAATCAATGAATTAATCACCACTGATTTAATACTGATTAATTCTGAATTCAACACTAATTAATTTGAGGTTTAACACTAATTAATCCCTATTAAATAATTAATAATTTGATTTATTATATAGCCAAAACTGCAGCTATAATTTTGGCTAAACTAATTATTTAATTTGAAACTGATTTATTTAAAATCCTAACATATTTTTTATTATTAATATAATCAATTATGTGGTCAGATATAGTTGTACTGAACTTATCAATTAGGATCGTGTAAAATCATATTAGGAAACATTTCAATTATTAATTTGATCTGATATACATTCCCTCAAATGCATTTCTTCAAAACAAAGCATATTTTCTTATCATTGTAATAGGAGAAGATAGTTATCAACAAGAGTTGAGAAGTTTTAGCTTTTACCTTTACCTTTAAGTCATCTATGGCTGGTAGGATATACTGTTCGTTTGTAATTAGGGTTGGTAAAAGTCCTAATTAGTCCTAATTGGTCCTGATTAATTTTAAAAAAATTGATAGTTTTAAAGATTAAATTTGTTAAATTTTACATTATATTCAATTTTTTAATTAAAGTTATTTATTAAAATAGTTCAAATTTCTTTTTAAAATTTAAAATATCTTTAAAATTTTAGATCTAGAACCTAAGTCCTAGGACCAGATTCTAAATTAAATATATTTATTACTTTTAAAAAATTTTTTTATTTTAAATTAATAAAATATTTGATATATAATAATTATTAAAAAGATTAATTTATTATTAAAAAATTTAATTAATAGTATATAAATTAAAATTATCTTTAAATTCTTTAAGACCAATTAGGATTTATTAGAACATTTATCAACTCTATTTGTGATTCGTTAAAAAGATAAGCGTTGGAAAATATTTATTACATTCAGGATAACTAAAATGCAAATATATTGTTTTATTAAAAGATGGACAATGAAATTGTAGTCAGAAATTTTCAAGAGATCATAATATTCAAGAAGATGTATTGGATTGGTAAAGTGTCTATCTTTAGTTTTGGTAATAGGAGATATGAAGCCGTTGTTTGATTAAAGAAATTCTATGGCTTCTTTTGCATGAGGTAGACCACAATAATTTATATCTATATATTATTTAATATATGGCATAGATTATAATGGTTTTTAATCCATGACCATAGTACAAAACAATCAGTTAAGTCTTTTTCTTTTTCTTTTTGTTTCTTTTTTTGTTTTTCTTGTTAGTTTTATTCTTTTGTTTTTTCTTTTTCTGTACCCTCAAATTGTAGGTTTTCAAATGGATTGATGAATTCTTCAAAATATTGAGCATCTACGCTTTTTTCAAATATTAAATCACGCCTTCAAATATTACAAAGAGCCTCTCTAACGTATTGAAATTTTTGAAGAGCCAACTCTGTATCTATCACTATGCCTTGCGAATTTAAATGCTTTCCAAAATGATTAACTAGTAGTACGATATCTGCTAGCTTACCAGATAGCATTGTCATACCTAAAGATGGTACAGCAATTGATTTCAAATTTACAAAATATTGCAACATAAGCTAAAATTAGTTGCAACATATGTTGCAATATTATAAGTTGCAACATATATAGGTTAAAACTAATTGCAACGTAAGTTGCAACATTAAAAGTTGCAACATATTAATTACAGTTCCCATATTTAGTCATATCTCTTTCTACTGGATTATATTTGGATTATTCTGAAGCATGTGTCTATATAGTCAGGTAATCCAAATTAAATTTCTGAAAAAGATAGCAATATGTTTTAATATTCTTTAAATATTTCAGATTCTTATCTGGTCCTCTATCTACTAATAAAACCCAGATAGGTCGAATTTCTCTATTGGTCTTTAATATATCATTATATCAGGTATTTAAAGAGAGATTTTTCAAGTCTTGCATATGTGTGTGAGAGAATGTATCAAATGACTACTGGCATCATATAAAAATGTCAAGTTAGCCTGTTTATAGTTTATTATTTAAATCGTTCATTTTGATAAGATAAACTGATAGAACTAATTTTTGTCCATACCTTACAGAAAAATTGTGATCGGCTATATGAATAAGCTTATGAACTGACCGCAACATTTGAAAGGTCTGACTTACATCAAGTCCTATCTTTGCTTTGTTATCTTAAGAGATAACAACTGATATATCAGCAAAGACAGTTGCAAATTGCCTTGCATATTTAACAGATACAAGGCAATAATGATTATTAGAATAATCATGTGTTTTTATTTGTGAAACTCCAGCTATTCTAATCTATGCTGAATGATAATGAACTTTTGTAGCAATAGAATTAGATTAGCGTAGTAACAAATAATTATTTAAAGTTATTTATGCTATATAAACATTATATTTTTCTTCAAGACTTTTATGCAAATTTTTGATAACCTGAACTTTTACAACTTCTTTTCATTATTTCTTATCAGCTAAACTAAATTCAACGAATTGTGAATATAATCATGTAATTTTGGATGTTTAAAAAGAAAGGATAGATAATTGGGTTTATCATATTATATGATCTCCTGATTTTTAGCAAGCATCTTTTGTTTTTTTTTCTTTGCAATTTTGAATATATTTTGCATTCTATTTTAATTTGAGAATCTTATCCTAATTGGATTTAACTTGAGCTTGAAGATTTACTATTTTTTTATATGTATCATGATGAAGTTGAGAATCAGTTGTGATATTGTAGATTTATTCAAATTCAATAGTTTTTTTTAGCTATTGTTATTATATTTGACATGGTAATTATCTTAATTAAGTATATATATAATATGTAATTATAGTAATTAATTACCATTTTTTTAAAAAAAACATAATTGTAAAATTAATTACGGGGGACGTAATTATTACAGGAATGGTAATTAATACTTATAGACATAATTAATTTCGTAAATAGTAATTAGTTTTGAGGAACATAATTAATTATGGGGTGATAATTAATATTTATAGACATAATTAATTACGGGTGACTTAATTAATTATGAGAGATATAAATTTTTTAATATATAAATATACAAAAAGAATTTTGTAGTATTATTAATATCATTTTTAGCTTTAATTTAAGTTCTAATTCACTTTGTATAACTTTTGTGCATAAAGATACATAATTTTCTTTTATAGTATTCGTCGTATAATGTGTTATAATAAACTAAAAAGTTATCTTATAGATCACATGATTTTAATTTGTCACAAAATCTATCCAATCAGCTAAAATTGGCAGATCTTCAAAATCTGTCCAATCTGCCAAAACTAGTAGATCTGCCAGATTGACTAAATCTGTCATATATGTAATATATATCAGGTATACAATAAAAAACCAATTATTACATTTCTTATTTTATTTATATTTTTATTATTTTATTTATATTATCAAATTTTTATAAATAAGGTAGCTTTAGAACTTTGATAACATAAGACTTTTAAGTAGAGAATTACTTTTAGTACTATCGCAAACAAGATAAATACTAAACATATTTGTATGCTAACAAATATACTTGTAATAATTATTCTATTTAATAAAACCCTATAATTACATTTGTCTCTAAAAATACTCTTGAATTGTAAACCTTCAGAAGCTCTTCATAAATCATATCATAAAGTTTTAAAGTTAAATACTTTGTTAATTTTGCGTCAATTAAAGGTGCGATTCAGTCAATCTGTATTATCTGAATTATTATCTGATCAAAAGTTTTAGTCTGGATGTAAATCCTTATTCATTCAAAAAAAACCCTTCATTTTCAGATATTATGCAGATGATCCAGATGATCTGGATATTAACGAATAATCTGCAATCTATTTAAATTTTGACCAGATTTATATGCATTTAGCAAATTGTGTTGCATTTATTAGCCAATTAAAACTTTTAACCAAATAAATATAAATTTGTCTTCATAAGCAAAAAAATGTTATTTTTATTAATCGTTGCTATTATTTGGGTGGGTGAATACTGTCTAAAACATTAAAATTTCTTTTCACAAATATTAACCTTTTAAAAAACTCTGGACTAATACATATTCTTTAAGGTTCCATTAAATTTCTGTAGTCTGAAAACAACCTTTCGCTTAGAGTTAAAGTGGCTGAAACTGAAAGATAAGCACGTGCTAATTTACTAATTATTGAAAACTTTTCTTTATTAATTTCCACCAAGAAAAAGGGTCTGAATTAAATGGAATTTGTGGAACTGCAAGATATTCATCAAGTTCACTTTGATTATTATTAGGTGATAGATAATTAAAAAGGATTGATTGATATAATGTAAAAGAGGGTGTAGAACTAAGAAAAGAAGTAGTAGTTAAACCAAATGAAGGTGAAAAAAGTTGAGTATATAATAATATACTAAATTTTATTTCATTATATTTGTCTTGTAAAGAATATTGGATTGGTCTTATTTTATCAAATGCAAAGTCGAGTTTTTTGATTTAAGGGTCAAGAATAGATGATAGATATGATATCATGCAATCTTTTTTCCAATAAAAAAGTATTGCATAATATAAAGTTATTTTTACTTCTTCTAAAACTCCCAATGTTTGCATTAGCCTATCTAAATTAATTTTATTATTATTATTATTAGTATTATCTAGATTGTCTTGATTCTCATCCCATACAAAAATATCTTCAATCTTCTCAATATTAATATTTGTTGTATTTGATTCAGATTCAGGCTTGAGATTTTTAATAATTTCAGCTATTAAAGGTTTCATTATACTATGAGTAGAATAATTACTACTAAGATATCTGGTTGCTTTCTCAAAAGGTTCTAAATTAGAATTAAATCACGAAGTACTATTCATTATTTGTTAACATTATTTTAGATAGCTGTTGAGAATCCTTTTTAGAATTCTGATCAACTTTCTCAGCCAAATTAGCTTCAAGTATACGAATATAATCTTTTAATTCTAAAAGTCGACACTAAGCTAAGTAGCTAGAGTTCTAATGAATAGATATATTGGCAATAATATGTCTTAAATATTTTGCAGTTTTTTCAGTAGACTAATTAATAAATAAATATTTTTTTAATTAATTTAATTAACGAAATAAAACATTTATATTTTTACTTACTATAGGTATTCTTGAAGGTTCAGAATTTTAATAATTCGTAAAATTATAAAATTAGAATATTTATTAATAAATTATTTTTATATTTAATAATTTAAATATAATATAAAATAAATAAAAAAATATTTATATATTAATAAATAAATTATTAATATTATTAATATTGGTAGTAAAATATTTTTTTTTTGTAAAATATTAACATCAGTAAAAAGACAATTATTTTTATTTAATAAAAATTAAATTAATCAATGATATATAAAAAAAAACAAATTATACATTTTTTTTACTATTTTAAAAATAAAAAAAATTCTTTTTTTAAAAAAAATAAAAAAAATCATAAAAAAAAGTTTTTTTTTTAAAAATTAAAAAAAAAATATTAAAAATATAAATTATATATTAAATACAACCTCATTTAAATTTGTTGATCGCGTAAATTATTTTTGAATTTTTTCAAGACATTCTGATTGCTTTAGTCTCATAAAAAATCAATAAGACATTTAATACAGCTAACCAATAATTTGATGGGTTTCAAACCTTTTCCAACCACAAGTTATAAGGTATGAGTAACACATGGCTGCCACATTATATTATTTGCTAATAATTCTAAATCTTGAATAGCTTTTTACATATTTGAACTATTATCTGTTATTACCATAAAAACTTTATCACAAAGTTCACATTCATCCAATACTATAAGTAATGTATCTCCAATATGATCAGCCGTATGAGAATAAGGAATATATTAAACTGAAAGAACAATTTCATGAAGTTGAAATTCTGGATCAAAATAGGAACTTTTATTCCAAAAAAAACCTTAGCAATTTCATTCTGTCCAAAGATCATAAGTTAAAGATATTGCATTAGTATCTTTTTCTAATTTTTTTATAATTAGTGGTCTTGAATAATTATATGTTTGATGAATAATTTTTTTAATATATTTTGGATTTGAAATTTGAAATTTTGGATCCAATTGAAAAATTAATTTTTTAAATGTCGGACTTTGAATAATAGTAAGTGGTAGAGAATCACATAAAATCCAATCTGCAAGATATTAACACAATTCAAGTTGAAGTGATTCTTAATGATAGGTTTTTTTGGTAAGCATTTTTATGACATCTTGATTCTGATTTATTTGCTTTTAATATATTTAAATAAATCATTAGCATTATATTTATAAAATCAATATAATTAAATTTTATAAAAAATTACTCACAGGATTAACTTTTTGCTCAGTTTGTTTAGTTATTCTATGATTATTTGCAAGATGAATAGCATAATTACCGATAAATGTACAAGTTTTTTCACATTTTTTTCCATCTACTATTTCTACTTGACAAACTGCATATCTTACTCTATCTTTATAGTTAGATTTAAAATATTTCCAAATCCAACTTCTAACTTTACTTTCTCCACAGGTTTTTTTAATTTAATTTTTTTTTGGTTTGAATCTTGTTTTAATTCAGTATCACTATTGTTATATGTTTCTTCAACCATTATTACTATTGGTTCGATATATATAAAAAAAAATGAAACACGACTTTACAATAAATTTACCAATTATAGTTTTAATTAGCCAATCATATTAAACAGATTATATAGATTTATACGAATCATCCGATAATAACCTATTCAAATTTTCATAATTCGTATATCATCCTGTCAAAAAAATTATAATCCATATTGCATTTAAATCCGTATTTTGATCAAATGACTGGATATCAGCTAAACAGATTAACCTCTAGTGTTAATACTAATTTTCAGTTATTAGTATCATAAAATAACAGTGTGATTAATATCAAGATATACATTAAATTCAACTTATTTAACTTTCTTTCCAGAAAAAAACTCTCTCCCCTATTTTACAAAACCAAAATTTTCATATGAAAAATAAAAATTTAAAAGTTCATTTTTAACAAAAATTAATTAATAAACCCAGTATAAAGAAGGTTTCTTTTGTTTTACCCTACCTTCTTAATTACGCAAGAGAGTTATGATGCATAAAAGTGCTATGAAACAAAAAAATAGTGACTTTAAGTTCGTTTTATACATCGCTCCAAAAGCTCTAAAGGAAGCTGCTAGTTCTACACCAGCTCCTTCGTCTTCTTCAACCTCAACTTCTGTCCCTACCAATTTAGATTTAGAAATTATCCAAGAAGTTTTTGGCTCACTACCAGAAAAAATAACGGAGTTTGAATTTTTAGACATATCTAAAATTGGCATATCCAACAAAATTTTAACAGTTATTCCACCTTCGAATAACAACAATAATAATAACAAAAAAGTTGATGACATTCCTGAAAATTCTTCTTCATCTAAAGATAGGTTAAAACTTTTGGATTCTGACGAATATCTCGAGAATGATAATATGGAAGAAGACTTAAGACTTTACAGTTGTTACAAAAGCTACCCCTTTGCAGTTACCAGTAATATCAAGTTTACTCCTAAAGAAAAGAATAACAGCAAAATTATTCTTGCTATCAACAACGTTTTTGCTTAAAATGATAATTTTAAAGGAGTTTTAGTTCATCGCATTAATTTGATGTGTTCAGTAATCATTTATTTTGTGATGTCAGACGTGGCTGCCACAGCTTTACACATGACCATTCCTGATCTTAAGATTGACACTTTCTGTGATTTCTCTCAATATAAAGCTGATATGCAATTCAATGAAAGGGCTATCCATGTCACCGATATTCCTTTACAGATGAAGCCTACTAATATCAAACAAGTTTTTGCCAAATATGAAACAGTTACTGATTTTAAAATGACAGTAAGAGGTATATGGCAACATGCCTATATTACCTATGAAAACCCTAAATATATTGTCAAGTGTAGAGCCGTTTTGTCCAGAATGATTTTGTCTGTATCAATCCTTGCACTTTGTCTCCAAAAGAAATTAAATATAGGAATACACACTATATCAAATTAACAAATCTTCCTTTTGGTACCTCTGCAAGAGATCTTCATAATATAATTCTTGCTACTAAAGCTAGAGCTAGTTATATTC